CAAACATTACCTCGTGTCATTTGCCTTGAAATGGCCTCCAGGAGCACACACTAAGTACCAAGAATGAATCTTGATTTCTCCCGTAGTTCTTCAAAGGCAGTTTGAGTCTTGCTGCTACCTGTAATTAGAAAGTCAATCTGATTACCCGGTGTGGGCAGCCCATCTCTGCCGTGTCCTTGATTTCATGTCCTGTGGCTTCCCACACAACCAACTTCATCCCTTTGACGTCATCTCTCTTCATCTTGCTGATTTCTACTCAAGAACCATCTGAAAACTCCGCTGTTCTTTTCAGTGGTTAAAGGGCAAGCTTAAAGGACAAATATAAAATGCTGTATATGCAGTGACCTCAAAACCAGCATTTGCTGGCACAGGATGAGAATTAAGTACACTGAAATCAACAGAAACTAATGCTCTAATGAATACAAATTGAGCTAAAAAATATCCATATATTGCAAATGGTTTTCCATACAGGTGACAGAGGGGAAACTTAAAGAACACTCAACCAGAATGTCTCTTATATTAACTTTGTCTTTAGAAGCCAGAGGGAACTAACAAGTAGAGATAAAAAATGAAGTATGTGTGGTTTGGTTAAAATAATGATGATAGAGAATGAGGAAGCAATTTGTGGGTATGCTAAGGGAGAGAAATTATTTAGAGCGGGATAAAGGTTATATGTAATCAGATTAAATTACCAACAGAAGAAGTAAAACACATTCAGGAAGGAGGCCTGACACGGAGATCTATCGGGGTGAACAACAGGCTCATCACAGGATGACACAAGAAGCTTCTCTGAATGGAAGCATTTGGAAACAGACCCGACACTGTGGAAAAAGGGCAGGTAAAGTTTGTTTCAGACACGTGCTGACTAAACATTGCAAGAGGTACTTTACTGTCTTGTACTTACTTGATGTGTTGGTTAGGTGGCATATGCATTTGTTGATTACAGTAATAATTATACCTATTAAAACTGAGCTGAATGCTTCATTAGCCAAATAAAATGCAATAGACAGAACAAAGCCCTGTAACAACCGTGTGAAAAGCTGCATACACTTCCAGTCTCTGCAAACATACTCTGCTAACATCTCCCCTCCTTCTTTCACTCAGTTACGACACCTGAAAGTTAAACCACAAGCCTGTAAATGTTTGCAGCCTAACTTTAAACTAGGACCCCCAAAGTCACTGATGGTGTTCCTAGGCAAAAGTATACCTAAAACCTGTATATGAGGAATCAGATTATCAGACTGTAAAATCCTTGGACACAAATAGTCTTTTATCATGTTTGTTGAAGCAGATTCCAAACCACACACTTGACAGGGTAGACTTTTATTGAAATGCAGTATTAGTAAGTAATTAAACAGCCTTAGTCATGTCATTTGACTTGAGATCTGTCAGGACTCGCTCCGTATCGAGCACAAGCCTACCTGGAGCAGCTGGACTCCTGCCCTTGGAGTTTATGCCAGTCTGGTTTTGATTCACAGTCAAGCACTCAAGAGATGTCATCCTCTCTCATTACACCACTCTGTTGTCACCACAGTCGTGACTGCCCAGCACCTTCCAGCTCCCTGTGAAGTGACTCCTCATGTGGCCACTCAAACTAGCAGCATAAAGCAGATTTAATGAAACACATTATTAAGCAACAAAGCAGTTACACGACTTCTGAGCACCACCCACCTGGATAAGACTTCCTTACGCATGCTTCTTGTCTCATACAAAAAAACCTCTGTAGTCCTGAGTGTCTACTAACCACAGCAAAGTTAAGGCAATGTTTAATAAAGCAACTCAGTGTCATGCTGCAGAACCCAGGTCAGGAAATCCAGCAGCTTCCAATGGGAGCTCAGCATCTAGCCAGCTTCAGAGCTCTGTAAATCCCACTAGCCAAGGAAATAAATCTTTAGAACAATATATACCTCGAGAATCTGAACCTTGGCTCCTTGGGTGATGGGCCTGCAATTCTGCAGGCGTATGAGGATATTTTACCCTTTACGAGAAAGCAAAATATGTGTAGTAAGCATGCATATGACTGAAGGAGTATATATCATTTCTGCCATAATTCATATGTGTATTTAAGGACATTGATCTGCAGTAATAATTAATTCATGTAGCAACGTGAAAAACATCCCAAAAGGTTGCAAAGAACTTTTCAGAACAAAATAGCTTTAAATACTCGGAAGAAGCACCCAGCTTCCCATTTTTTTTCTTGCACTAACATATCAAATTGCAAAGTTATACATTGTTGTACAGGAAACACAGAAAAAAGCATACACGAGTCATGAGGGAACTGCCTGAAGAGAGGGGAGTAAAATACCCATGGATGTGGATAGGACATTATCAGTGTCCTGGGTTCAGCTCTAACAGTTATTTTGCTCCTTCTTGGTAGCTGGTGCCGTGCTGTGTTTTCACCTTTAGCCTGAGAACAACGCTGATAACACACCAATGTTTTCAGCTGTTGCAAAGTAATGCTTACTCCTATCAAGGACTTTTTCAGTCTCATGCTCTGCCAGTGAGGAGGGCCACAGGAAGCTGGAAGGAAGCAGAGTCAGGACCCCTGACCCAAACTAGCCAAAGGGGTATTCCATACTACAGCACGTCGCACGTCATGCTGTGGTACCCCCCAGTATAGGAACTGGTGGGAGCTACCCGGAAGGCCCAGATCATTGCTTGGGTCAGGCTGGATATCGGTCAGCGGGTTGTAAGCAATTGCATTGTGCATCACTTGTGTTTATTGTTTTCCTTTTCCCCTTTTAGTTTCATATTCTCTCCCCTCGTTATTTCCCTTATCATTATTATTATTGGTGGTAGCAGTAGTGGTTTGTGTTATACCTTAGTTACTGGACTGCTCTTATCTCAACCTGTGGGAGTTACATTCTTTCCATTCTCCTCCCTATCCCTCCGGGAGCAGGGAGGGAGAAGAGGAGTGACCAAGCAGCCGCATGGTTCTGAGTTACCGCTGGGCTTAAACCACAACACTCGGGACTAGCACCTTTTCAAAACTGGCATGGCAATCATGTGTGATTTCATGGTTTGCTTTGGTATTTAGCAGAGAGCCCAGTGCCATGCCTGGGGATGGCAGCAGGAGCTTGCCCTGGGGTCCTTGGACAAGGCGGAATGGCTTTAAGCAGCCAGAGGGGAGACTGAGATGAGCTCTTAGGCAGAAGCTCTTCCCTGTGAGGGTGCTGAGGCGCTGGCACAGGGTGCCCAGGGAAACTGTGGCTGCCCCATCCCTGGCAGTGTTCAAGGCCAGGTTGGACACAGGGGCTTGGAGCAAGCTGCTCTAGTGGAAGGTGTCCCTGCCCGTGGCAGGGGTTGAAGCTGGATGACCTCTACACTGAGTACTCAAATACAGGGTACCTCTGTCCAAGGTGAAAGGATGCTAAGGCCTCAGTCTGGGCATGGTTTGAAGTCAGTTATGAAACCAATCCTATAAAATATCTTACTCAGTAACCTAGAAAACGTTTGCAAAAGTTTTCCAGTGCAGTCACAGATGTAATTGCAATAAAACTGTGTTCTAACTTAAGAGGCTTTCCCTTTAATACAGTTATTAACACCAGTGCTGAAGAAGTGTGACTGACACACAGAGCTCCTCATTCCTCCAGATAAAGGATGAATCTTTAATAGATTTCTGACCTTTTGGGGCAACATTACATTACATAGCATCACAACATACAGACTTAAAGGAGCAGATCCGTGGTGTGTAAAAAATACTTACTCCAGCAATGCCTTCATCATGTTTCTCCCATCTTGCACTGTCCAAGCCCTGCCATAGAAGAGCTGTGAAAAATGTAAGGCCTTATGTATGATTCTACGATTCTATATGGAGTAAATATGGAGTGATCTTCAGAGACAGATGTGTTTGTGGAATATGGAAGCCAGCATATGTGTAAAGACAAGAGCTCATAACTCACAGCAAGTGAAGCCACAGATGATTGAGGTCTTTCATCATAAACTGAACAACTGTGTGTGCTGCAGATGCTCGGTGATAACAGGTTTAAAATACTTAATTGCTTTTATTAAAAGAAAACAGAAGTGCATCTCTCTTTGGGTTAAGCATAGAAAGCACCTCCTGAGGAAGGTCTGGGGAGCCTGAAATTCACTTTAATACATTTCCAAGATGTATTTCACAACCTCTCATTACTTGGACTGCCCAAGTTGTTTTTATTCAAAACAAAAACAGTATTAGTGTGGAAAAAGAATGAGTCTTCGCTTTTCTGTAGAAAGGGGCCTTTGTAAACAGTGTGATGAATCCGTAGCTACCCCATATGCATGCAGGCAATAGGTGTATTTACTCCAAGCCATCCTGAGTCACTGGACATTGTTTATACACAAAGGCCGTCAGCAAACCTTCTGTGTATTTTAAACGGCAGAATGGAGTAAACGATATTATTTTCCCACATATCCTCTTCTGTGAGCGTACCGATCCCTACACTAGGGTTGTTTTCAGCCTCAACAGCCTCGGTAAAGTCTGTGCTTTATTGCGTTCTCCGTAGCTGTGCTGCCAAAGCCGCTTAGCGCGGATGTGATGGGAGCTGGGAGGGTAAAGCGTGAGTTACGAGTGCAGAAACGCGCGGGCAGCCCCCGGGGCGGTTCTGTTATGTCGTTAGAGGACGGGGCTGGTCCCGCCGCGGCCAGCCCCCGAGCGCTCCGACACCGCCCGCCACCGCCGTTACCTCAGCGGGCTCCAACGGCGCCGCGCGCCTCTCGCTCTGATTGGCGGAGGAGGGGAAGGGGCGGGGTTAGCGCCGGACCAAACCACCGCCGCTGGAGGAGGGGGGCAAAGAGGGGTATCTCTGCGCAATGGTTCGTCCCGGCCACCTTCCCTTCCCCCTCCACCCCCCCCTCTGCGAGTCTGAGTCCTTTAGGCCGGGCGGTTACCGGCGCTCTCGCGCGTCTACGCAGGACCCCGTGGGCTGGCCGCCGCATTGCCTGACTGCAGCGAGGGAGCCGCGGCTCCGCCGTGCCCGCGCAGAGGTGCCTCTCGGCTCGCCGCAAGCCGCTGTGAGACTCACCGCCTGCCCGTCACCATGGCCCTTCTATTCTGGCCGGCGCCTTCGGTGCCTTCCGCTCCGGCGTTTGAGCCGGGCGGCTGCGAGCGCCTGGGCGCGAGGAGGGGTGAGGGCGCGGGTCCTGGCGGCGCGGAAAACGCGCCAAGTTTCCCGTGGTGGGGAGAGCGGCGCCGGGGAGCCCCGCGGTCTCCATGGCAACCGGCGGGCCCCGCCATGTAGCGGTGAGGAGAGGCGGCCCCGCCGGCCGCCCCGACGGGTCCGGGCCCGGGCCCGGGCCCGCTCTGCCCCCCTCGCCGGCGGGCGAGCGGCCTCCCGGGCGGGCCGGGCCGGAGGAAGGGAGGGAGGGAGGGAGGTGCAGGCGGTGCTGCTGTGGAGGGGGGGCTCCCGGGCCGCGCTGGGCTCCGGCTCCGGTTGGTGTTTCCCGCACGTAAAGTAAATGGCGACTCTTGTGTGTGTGTGTGCCTCAGGTGTGAGCGCCCTTTGCAGCTTCCCGGCCGCGCTGGCCGCTTCCCGCGCTCCCCTCCGCGCCAGGAAAGATGCCCGGGGTGTTGCCGAGTGACAGCACGGCGAGAGGGAGCCCGTCGAAAAAGAACCGGCTTTCCTTGAAGCTCTTCCAAAAGAAGGACACGAAAAGAGCCCTGGATTTTACGCAGTCGCAGGAAAATGAACAAAAGAGCGCGGAATTCAGAGGCTCCGAGATGTATGTAAGAGTTTTGCTCTCAATAAGCGTTTCTGGGTCTGTTGTCAAAGCAGTCTGATAGCTCAGCGAGTCTGATGCGGTGGATAAACAGCGCTGCTCCATCCAGTCGTTTAAGTGTTATATCCTCGCATAAGTATGTGCTCTGACATGTAGGAAGTAAACCCTCAAGCCAAGTTAATCAAACTGGACTTGCTATTCACTGTAACAAATGCCTCCGTTTTAAGAAGGCGAGTTTGCCACACTGTGGATGTTTAGTTAGCATAAACTTTTTGGTAACTTGAAGAAGTTACCTTATTTGAGCTTACCATAAGGCAGCTATTCTGATGCTGAATTATTTTAAGCACACGAAAACGTAAGGTTTTGCAAAATGAGTTTTAATACTAAAATGCCGGATTTTAAGGTTTATTTCTGCTGCAAGTAAAAGAATTGCTCATGCAGGTTACTGCCATTCATTAGGGTATTCTGAGCCCAGAGTGAATCTGGCAACTCATTTCACTGCAGCTAGTGGGAAAAATTGTTTAATCATGGTGAATTACAAATGTTTCGGAGACTTTAAACTTTGGTTTTGTTGGGTTAGTGCAGTGCATTAATCCCTGTATATAATGTGCCAGGTTTATGGGTTCCCCCCTTCCTCTTTTTCCCCGCTTTTAATCCTTTTAGTTTGCATACAGATATGAAGTGATGTGAACCTGGAGCAGGAGACAGTAGTAGGAAGTATGTGATAGGCACATTTTTCTTAGTGCTGCCTTAAGAATGAACAAAGAAGATACAAAAGTATTCTGAAGAGAACTTTTTTTGTTCCATAAGTGGGTCTCCTGGTAGTTCTTGACAAATACTATTGGAACTAAAGGCAGATTTGCCTGTAAACCTGCCTATTTTTGTGTAGGTTGCTGAAGAGAAAGCCTGTGTTTGAGTGCCCACAGTAGCCATATAGACACTCTCAGAAACACTGACATTATCTGTGTATATTAGTAATGAGTTCTATAAGCTAGCTCTGAGGTGGTGGATGGCCAGGAGGGAGTTTGTGCATGTGCACCAGGAGGAGTCATTGTCAAAAACTCTCTCTTACACACAGTTTTCTCTGCTTAATAGTGATCAGGTTGTTCCTGCAGCACAGCCTCCCTCGCTTGTTAGCTGTGAGAAGAAAGACAACATGTTGCCTTTTGTGGGCTTGAACAACCTGGGTAACACTTGCTACCTTAACAGTGTACTTCAGGTAAGATAACGTTGTTCAATAGGCCTCGAAAGCATGATTTTCTTTTGGATAAGCACAAGTGGATGAGATTTGGAGTTTGATATTGCATAGATGCCTGCATGTATTATGAAGGGAATCTAATTACAGTGGGGAAAAAGATGATACTGTAGGTTGCCTTGATTGGGTAATTTTTACGCTGGGGCACCTCCCTGCTATGAATAATCTGCACCTTTGAGCAACCTGCTCTAGTGGAAAGTGTCCCTGCCTGTGGCAGGGAGTTGGAACTGGATGAGCTCTAAAGTCCTTTCCAACACAAATTATTCCGTCATTCCATGTTCTTTGTGTGCTGTGCAGCCCTGGGAGATGCAGCACGAGTTTGATCATAAGCCTGGATATGTATGTGGAGTAACTTCTTACTTTATCAATTATTCTCTTGTTGCTTTCAGGTATTATATTTTTGTCCTGGCTTTAAAACTGGAGTAAAACATTTATATAATATTATTTCAAAGAAGAAAGAGTCTTTGAAGGATGAAGGAGAGCAAAAAGCAGAAAAGGTAACATCTCACTTACACATTCCTTTACTTGTACTTTTGAAAGTGAGGCTGTAGGCTGGGAGTGTAATGAAAATTTAACTCAATTTAACTCAAAAAGTCTTGCAAACAGATTTCTTCTGTTTGTAAGAAGTTTTGCAGTTTTGTTTTCTACAGTGATGCATACCATTATATATATATTTGTTTTGAACTTGCATTCAGACTTGAGTGTCTTGTATTCAAATTTCAGTGTCTGTAAACTTGGAAGCACAAGTCTGGAGTTTAACAAGAAGTTCTCTTAAGCTCTGATATCTCACCATGCTTCTGACATTAAGATAATTATGATACAGTGCTTTTGAGTGGATGGAAATTAGGGTTTGGTCAAAGAAAGTTTGGGTTTTTAAAATAATGGCTGGTCTGGCTTTTAGATTTGTTTTCTACTGGCAAAAGAGCAATATATTGTCTGAAACTCACCTGCTTCCCACAGTGGAAAAATACTCCAACTGTCAAATGTCTGCTAAACTGAGAGTAGGAAAGAAAAAAGTTTAATTTGTTGTTGCAGACAGAGTTGCAAGTATCTGTATTCTTCTTATGTTGTTATTACAGGGAAATTGTAAAGAAGATCCCCTGGCAAGTTATGAACTAATCTGCAGTTTGCATTCACTGATCCTTTCAGTTGAACAGCTTCAAGCCAGCTTTCTCTTAAATCCAGAAAAATACACAGATGAACTTGCTACTCAGCCACGAAGGCTGCTGAATACCCTCAGGTACAGATTATCTTAAACACGTTGTCAGAATTTCACCTGAAGTTTGGAGGTCATTATCACTGTACAATGCAGCATTAGAGACGTAATTTAGAGTATGGTTATAAGAAGTGAGGTTTTTTTGTGTTTATTCATATCATCATAAACTTGAAAGTAAATTTTAATTTTCTTGGAATTCCAGACTGGTTTGTGTTGAAGGGACCTTAAAGCTCATCCACTCCCAGCCCCTGCCGTGGGCAGGGACAGCTTCCACTAGAGCACCTTGCTCCAAGCCCCTCTGTCCAACCTGGCCTTGAGGATGGGGCAGCCACAGCTTCTCTGGGCACCCTGTGCCAGCACCTCAGCACCCTCACAGGGAAGAATTTCTGCCTAAGAGCTCATCTCAGTTTCCCCTCTGTCAGTTCAAAGCCATTCCCCTTGCCCTGTCACTAAATGCCCTTGTAAAAAGCCCCTCTCTGGATTTCTTGTCAGCTCCTGTAGGCACTGGAGCTGCTCTAAGGTCTCCCTGGAGCTTTCTCTTCTCCAGCCTGAATAAGACCAACTCTCTCAGCCTGTCTTCATAGGAGAAGAATGGAATTTAAATCCAGCTAAGCCTTAAGTGTCTAAATATTCTCATTGACCTGAGAAGGACTGATGCTGGGTTGCAACTGAATGTGTTTAAATGCATAAGGCTGCAGTTACCTTCCCACATCTGCCTGCAACAGAGAAGTCTTATCTCTAGGTTGGGAGAGGATCCTCTCCCACTTTTATATTTAAACTCCCTAAATTAAATCTCAGATCACATTAGCCAGTTAGCAGAGTGTAACTATTCTTCATTACTTTTACTTATTACTTTTACTAGAGAGCTCAACCCTATGTACGAAGGCTACTTGCAGCATGATGCCCAGGAAGTTCTGCAGTGTATCCTGGGTAACATTCAAGAAACGTGTCAGCTACTGAAGAAAGAAGAATTGAACAAACTGCCCGTGGAAGAGCCTACAGCTAAACCAGAGCAAAACCATAACTCAAATACCGAGAGTAATGGAACTGGCAGCCCTGCTGAGGAGGAGGAGGAGAACACACCAAGTTGCCACGTTGGAGAGACAGCTGAGGACAAGCTACTCAAAGGCAATGGGAAAAGAAAAAGTGATGCAGAGGGTGGCAATGCAAAGAAAAAATCCAAAGTATCAAAAGAGCAAATTGCAGCAGAAGAGAATCAAAGACAAACCAGGTCAAAGAGGAAGGCGACAGGAGAGAAGTTAGAAAATCACACCGATGCCATTGCCAAGTGTTCCACTGAAAACGAGAGTGCAAAGCCAACACAGAAGAAGTCCCGGCTCAGATTAAACTGGTTAAAATCTTCATGCAAGCAGCCTAGTATTCTGTCTAAATTTTACAGTCTAGGAAAACTAACTACAAACTTGGGATCCAAAGACCCAGGGAAAGAAAATGATGACTGTGAGCTGGAAGAGTCATCTGTAAAGTGTGAAAATGGCAACAGTATTAAAGAAGAGTATCATGAACCTGCATCTCCTGTGGAAAGCCATAATGAAAAAGGAACTGAAAAAGAACCAAAAAAGGAAGGTTGGTGACCAAGTGTATGGGCTTAAGATTATTAAAATTAAGAAGTTACTCTGTGTGAGAAGTCAGCCTTCAGACTGTAGCCATCAGAGCTCTCCAAATACAAAATTACATTCTCGGGAATTGAAAAAGATTTTTATGAAAGAGAATTTATATTTAATACATGTTTGTAATTAATTTTTTGGTAACTTGACCTGTTTAGCTCAGATATTGAGAGGTATTTCTCTAACATTATGTAAATGTTGTATAATATAGATAAAAACAAAAGGCAGAATATTACCAATTTGTATTATTGTCATCCATAGAAATAGCAAGTGGATTCAAGGTGTAAAAGAATGTTACTGTCAGCAGCAAACACACTCAAACCCCACGGGCTATTGCTTTGCTTTCCAAGTCATTACAAACAATATCCTCTCCTTCCCTCCCTACTTTTCTGTATTTCCAACCTTCCCAAGAAGTGGGAAAGACAGTGGATGTATTATATATGCTAACTAGCTGGCAGGTGTGGATTGTGTTCATGTCAATGAAAACAAGATACTTTTGACGGAAGGGCCTTGGTATGAATTCAGTACTTAATAATTTGGAGCTTTCTGATCCACCTGCCAAGTTTTTGCAAATTTGAAGGAATACAGAATCTTTTGAGGGCTGCATTTCTCAGCAAATGTGACCAAAATTGGCCAAGAAGTTTAGAAAGTATTGGAGGAGAGGCCTGAGAATAAACAGAAACCAGGCGAAACCACAGTGTGGTGTTCCTTGGGCAGGCTGACAGTCCATACTAGAGAGTGCATTGATGACAAACAGGTTTTCCAGAGTGACACCATGCCACTTCCAAGTATAAAACAAGAAACTAATCTTAAAACAGAAATTACAGTTTAGGGGCCAAGAGGATCCTTGTTTACTTAAATGATACTGTGAAAATTGTGTGTGATTAATCCTGAGAAGGCCACATGTGTAACGCTTGATTTTTCCAAGAGGGACACCCAGGTTCTGAAATACCTTTTGAATAAAATGCATCTTGGTAAGTGATGTGGTATATACTTTCTCTAGGTACAGAGCTGGCTGTTTTTGAACTAGTGGAGAAGCTATTCCAGGGCCAGCTGGTTCTGAGAACAAGATGCCTGGAGTGCGAGTGCTTTACTGAAAGGAGAGAAGATTTTCAGGACATCAGTGTTCCAGTGCAAGAAGATGAGCTTTCTAAAACTGAAGAGAGTTCTGAAAGTAAGTAATTATCAACAGGGGTTGTGATACGTGTTTCTGCTTCAGCCAGACTCTGAGGAAGGATAGTGCCATGGTTATCGGGGAACACTGCTCCTGTTTGTGCTGGTTAAAATTAGCGGCCGTTCTCTTATCTCTTGTCCTGATTAACTTTAGACTTTGGAAACACATTGTTGGTAATGTCGACAGAGCTTGATAGCATTAAAATTGCTTCAGACCTTAATGCAGAACACGGATTGCTGACAGGTCTTCACTTATGCACATTTTCCTGCTTATAAATGGGTATTTTATTTTGGTATTCTTCATGGTAAGAAATTCTGCTTTTTCTTCATTTTATAAGAAATATCTGGGTTGTTTTTTTTTTTGAAAGAAATGAGTATCCAGTTGAGTTTTTTTGTTAATTCACTATAAAAAGTACTTTTTTTCCAGTACTTTAGACTGTTTTCACCTTAATAGTGGGTGGTTTTTTATGTTTGTAAATGCTTGTCCTCTGGTATCTTTCACAACTATTAGTGATCTAATTTATAGTTATTTTCAAAATTAAGCATGGCAACAATGCACTTTTGACAGAATTTTAAAGAAATTAATTCTAGTTCCCATTAACTGAATTTGGGACAGGTTTTACTATTTTTTTCCCTCCCCCTTTTGCTGAAGAACTGCAGTGTAAGGTGTGTGGTGCTGTTGGGGTGTAAAATGCTCCCAGCAGCAGAGGTCATCTGTCACTAGCAAGTGTAAAGCTTTTGGGGGAGGCAAAATGTAGAAAGGAGAGGGAATTTTCTGCTTATTTGAGTGAAATTCTGGTCTCAAATACATGCACCCAGTTTTACAGATAGGGAAACAGAATTAGCACGTGTAATCTGAAGACAAGCTCTGGGAAAACCATGGATTTTAAGTAATAACATCTATTGATATTTTCATTGCTTCCTGAAATGATTCAGAGATCTGGAACATCTTCTGTTTCATACATATTGACTGTTGTTTATGGTGTTGATAGCAGGCTTTGAGCATGTCTTAGCTTGACATACTTTGTTTTGTTGTTGTTCTGGTGGGATGCATTGGAAATGTAAATAATAGCATGTCTGCAAATGTAACGATTCTCTTTTATAGTTTCTCCAGAGCCAAAAACAGAAATGAAGACTCTTAAATGGGCAATTTCACAGTTTGCATCAGTGGAAAGAATTGTGGGAGAGGATAAATACTTCTGTGAAAACTGCCATCATTACACAGAAGCAGAACGCAGCCTTTTATTCGATAAAATGCCTGAAGTTATAACAATTCATTTGAAGTGCTTTGCTGCTAGTGGCTTAGAGTGAGTATGCAGATTGCCTATATTGTGAAACAGTGTGCTGTTGGAAGGGAAATCTTACCAAAGGAGGTGAAAATGTCTTGTAACTTTTCCAAAAGCAGATTCCTAGATTGAAATGAACTAAAGTCAGTGGGACGCAGCCTGTCATTTCACAAAGGTTTTCTGTTGTTACAAGTACTGGCAGAAATTACCTCCAGGAAGACTGTTTTATCTGTATTCTTAACAACAGCCTGACATCCTGATGTGTCTGAAAACATTGTTAACTTTCAGTATCACCAGTGAGTTTAGAAGCAGGTTTAAGTACTTGAGCAGCACAAGGAATGAGAACAAATGTGAATTTCGTGGTTGTAGCTAGTAGTCTGGTCTCTGAGTGTGAGTACTAAAATCCAGGGGAAAAATATCAAGCGAGAAACGTTTTAGAGTTAACACACATTACCAAACAAAATTGACCAGTTCCTTTAAAAATACAGTAATACCATTGATAATCAACTACTGAGCCATCAGTTTGATGTTATATCCTGTAGAAATCCTTATTTTTTTGAAAGAGATTATTCTTTGAGTGTTCTTTGTATTTTTATTATTGGGGCTTTTTCATACTTAGGAATTTAGGAATAATCTTTGGAAGGGAGAGAAAAGATAAGAAAACCCTTGTCCCTACAGTACCGTACACAGATGAAACCATGCCAATTTCTGCACAGCATTTTGCAGTAAACTCTATTTCTTCACTGAGTTTCCATTAATGAAAAGGCTTCATCAGGAGAAACTTCTTCTAACAACAATATTCCCCCAGATCCTTTAGCGAATTCTTAACCCATTAATTGTGTTCTTGAGAGTGACTGTACAATTTCAGTAACATTTGCAGACTCAGCCTGTGTTTGCAACTTCTGGCATTGAGTAGACATAACTTTTGCTATCTGGAATAACTTTGCTGATTGCAGCAGAAGATAAACTGGGGTTGGTTTCAGCATCCCACTATCTGGCTTCTGCTTCAGAGAGCAGCTCCTGTTTATGACCTTGATGGGAGCTGCTTGTAAGTTATTTAGGCACAAATTTGCCTTTTATCCACCAGGTTCCCTGAGCTTTGCATTTCCCTGTTGGTTGGCTTTAGACCTTCAGAGCCACCTAGCCAGCAGGAAGTCTGATGCATGAAGTATTCCATGGAATTCAGTTTGTTTCCCCAGTATTTTAGAACTGTATTTCTCCAGTACTGAGGTGTACAGGACCTTTGGCAGTGTACAGATACCAAGTACAGGTTGACAGATGATTCATCAGAGGATGCTTTATAAGCAAGTGCTAGTAACTGTGGTCAGTCTAAGTAAGATTTGTAATATGGTGTCAAGGATAGATTTAAGATACTTTTACAGGTAGTTCGCTAAAACTAGATTTCTGTCTAGTTTTTATGTATATATAAAGTTTGGGTTCAGTATTCGTTTTTAGGAGTATATACGCTTCTGACAAAGTAGAAAGGAAACTTCCTGTGTCTCTGCAATGTCTGCTTACTTCTCTTCATACAAGTCCAGGGTTGTACAAACAAAATTGTCTTTCCATTGTTCTACATAATATTTGACTGTCACAGTGAGGCAGAGAGGAAGTTGCACACTTAAAAGATTATATTGCTATGGCTGAGGAGGCCTTGATGCGAGATGGTGTCCTGCTGTGATTATAGGCTATATATATCAAAAATACAACCCCAGATATCCACTTGAAGGGAAACCTGAGTATCATCTTCACTTTGCTCCTATGTTTGCTACTTTTTGTTTCTACAAGGCAGGACCTGCAGCTTGCAGGTTAACCAGCTATCTCCTGAATCACTTACCTCTTCTTCTGTCCTTGCAATGTCCAGGTCCTTGCTCCAAAATACTTAGACCTATATTCTGCTCAGGTTGAATCCAGTCTCTTGTGCTGTTCCTCGTGTGTCCTCTGAATCATGTCATATGTTTTCTGCCAAGTGTTAGCAGCCAGAGATTAAGGAAGTAAGAGTGGAAAAATGAGATGTAGAACTGGAGTCAGTGACGAAGCAGAAGCTGCTTAGAAGATTCTTTCCTCTTTCACAGTTTTTGGCTTGGAATTTTTTATCCTGGACAAAACCAGGTCACTTGTAAACATCTTGATTTGGAGTAGTAAAGCCCAGCTGCAAATCAAGTGGGAAAGAGCCGTGGCCAATAAAACAGAACACTTGCTTACTCCATAGTATCCAGTTACTCTTTTTGAACAATGAGCTTTGACTGAGCTTCCCCAAATTGACTTATGTAAACTTAAAATATTTACTGTAAAACGTACTACCCTTTTCACAGATGAGATGCCAATGGTTTATCCTGAAAGTAATAGCAGACTGTTCTCCTTAAACTAAGAATCTTCACGCAACTTCTCTCCATAAAAGTTCTGCAGTCTTGTCTGCTTCTCAGTTGTGCTCTACTGAGTTTTCTGATGACTGAGTTTTAAATAAATAAAGATAAATGGAGGAGAACAGTAATGTGAGTATTTGCAGATAGATAGTAGAGATTTGCTTTATCCTTTCTAGATGCTGGCTTGCAAAGTGTTTGGTTTACTTAATAAAGCAGCCAGTGTGAAAACCGACTTGCCTGGGGATGAGTAATTCTCTTTGGCAAATGTGTGCATGGTGAAAAATGTGCTAGGCCACGTGTACTCAGACTGCAAAGCTATTAAGAAACGTGTAACTGGTAACAAAGAAACGTGTAACTGGTAATAACATCTAATTAAGCGTTTCCACTATCTACATTTAACAACTGTGAGAAAATCAGATTGTTGTCTTGTGAAATGCCATCAGGAAAGAGCAGGTGATGTTTTATTTATTTCAAGAAAGGTTTACTTGGTTTTGTTAACAGTCACATTTCCTAATGAGTGACAGCAGTGCCTGTGCCACTGCAGATCCTTTATTTGGAGTATTTCACATCCATGTATGTTAAAAGTGTTGCAGTAAAAATAGCTTAAGTCTTTAAAGGTGTGTAATAACTTGAGGTATTAATTCAGTACAGTGGGTAAAGTTCTACTACTTTATGGTCTCAAAAGCTGCAGTTGCAAAAGTCAAGTTTGTTGTGTATGAACTGTGCATCAGTCAGAGGAGGCGGAGTACTTGGCATGCAATTTTTCTGTCTTCAGATTCTTATGATTCAGAAGAACAAAAAGCTAATAGGAAAAGATTTCCTCTCTTATTTCCTCCTCTCCAAATCTTTCTGATGCTGGATCTCATTCGGAAGGTAGAGCCTGTTTTTTAATGTTTTCTGTCAATATGATTGTCACAGTGTGCTTGAGTGGAACTGGATTTCTGATCTAGAGTATCAGCAAGCAGTTTCTCTGTCTCTTCTGAGTATCTCTATTTCTGGTTACTACAAATAGGGATTTTCAGAAGATGTCTTATTTCTCATTAGGTCTAAAACGAGGTTTCAGGTAACTAGATTTGAGTGACTGAGAACATCTGTGTGTGTGTAAATGTATTTATAAGTGTTTATGGCTGTGAACATCAGCAAAATGTTTAGAAGCGCAGCAGGATCAAAACTAAACCCAGGGAAGCAAAAGTAGTAGGTTGTTACTGCAGTTAACGCTCATAGTGTTACACCATATCTGCAATTTCCTTGGATTAAAGATATTCTTTCTTACAATAAAATACAAGTTGAATAATAGTAGGTAGCTCTTTGGAACCTGTGTTTTACAGGCTTTCTCTGTATTCCCCTATACTTTTCCCTACAACACCCTAACAGTTGAGTAAGGCTGAATCAGCCCTGAAATCTATTAGGATATCATAACATATCATTAAATAAATAGGTTAATTAACTGATGCAATATCTGGCTGATGCAAGATGTAAATCCTGTAGGATCCTTCAGGGCGTCTAATACACAATAAGGTGAAAGTCCCAACACTTTTCAAACTCTTTAGAAGATCCTTATTGTAATGAGAAGACTTGAACTTTTCCCATTGTAGATTTGTGCACTGTGAACAAAATGCTAATTATTTATTGAATGATAGATGCTTTTGCAAAATAAATCAGCTAGGTAATAGTCTAAAACCTGAATAACACAGGACAGTTAATGTAGGCTCTGTAGTAACAAGGAAGTGTTATAACTTACTCATCCTTGGGTAACCATTGCATTACCGCTGGCACTAAGATAAGCTGAAAAAAATAGCTTACTCAGTTCTAAGTGTCATTAAATTTGTATTCCTTTATTTAGTGAATGACTCTTTCAGAGGCTTGGGAGGGGAAACAACCCTGCCTACTTCAACCTTGGATGTTGAAGAGGTTTTTGGTTTGATTTGTTTTAAATCTGGCAAGCAGGATGGTGTCAGCGCAAGTGTTCAGTGATAACTGAACAATCAGGATAACCCTTTACCATCACTATCGAGACATTAGCTGATACTTCAGAGAAAGGGAATCTCCTTAAGTATTTAAAATACAGACACTAGGCTATAATATTTAACATTACAGACACTTGTAAAAATGTCTTCTGAGCAGGGACAGATGCTCATGATAAGCAAGTTGAAAAGTGAGCAGTATGTCTCCTAGTCTTTTTAATAGAAGAATATAGGTACTGCTTTAAGTGGCCCATATATTGCACTTATTGCAAGCTGTTGTGGCAACAGGTCTTAACTTTATCTTTCTTCTGAAGGTTTGATTGCTATGGTGGACTATCCAAGATAAACACTCCCTTGCTGACACCCCTCAAACTCTCACTAGAGGAATGGAGCACAAAGCCAACCAACGACACCTATGGATTATTTGCTGTGGTAATGCACAGTGGCATTACAATTAGCAGTGGACACTACACAGCTTCTGTCAAAATCACAGATCTCAATAGCCTGGAGCTGGATAAGGGAAATTTCATCACTGACCAAATGTATGAAATGATTAAACCAGAACCACTGAATGAGGAGGAGGCGAGAACCGTTGCTGAAGACTACGACGACGGCGAAGTCTCCTTTAGAGTCAATGGAAACGCACAGCCGGGTAAAGTTCTGAACAAAAAGAACATGGAGGCTGTTGGACTTCTAGGGGGGCAGAAGAGCAAGTCTGACTGTGACCTCTACAAGCCAGCTAACCCAGAGAAGTTCCTCAGTGTAGTTACTGAGAACAGAAATCCTGAGTCTAGCAGCAGTAACGGAGGTGCAGAGTGCAGCCCAGAGCACGGCGAACAAAATGGTGTTAATTCCAGTGGACTAGAGAACAAAGCCCTGTACGTGCTGCAGAGCCTGAAAGAGTATGAAGGGAAGTGGTTGCTTTTTGATGACTCTGAAGTGAAGGTGACAGAAGAAAAGGACTTTCTGAATTCCCTTTCTCCGACATCGTCATCTACATCAACTCCTTACCTACTGTTTTATAAGAAGATTGTAGAGTGATACTGTATTTTGACTGTAAATATCAGGGACTTATATACACTGTTTGGTCTGATTTGCATCAAAACTACCTGGAGGAAGCAGCTGTTCTGTTTTTGAAGCTACTGGATCATAATGTTTCTGGTCTTTTTTGTTTGGTTTAAGTGGCTCAACTTGAATTAACAAACCGTGACACAGAACTTACTTACTTAACTCACTTAATAATAACTTTGATGCTGGAGAATAGTGATCTTACCTTTTAGAAATACCAGTTTGTATAGTTCCTAAAGGATGCTTACAGGACACGGTAGTGGTTTTAACACAACTCTAGCTCTCAGACATACCTATTGTATTATTAGCTTTTTCTTTTTTTTAATAAAAGTTATTTGTATTCATATCCTGGAGTAAATGTATATTAACTAGCAGATTTCATCAGAAGTTGTGTATTTTTGTAACTTGGGAAGTAATACTTCATATTTAGTCTTTGGGTAATCGACGTGGTTTCTTCTCCTTATCCAGTTCTCTACGGCTCGGTGCAACTCAAAGCACAAGAGAAGGGTCTTGTAACCTCGTTTAGTGTCTTGGGAGGAACTGAACTTAATAGAAATGTTTGAATGGTCTAATTTGCATCTTGCTGCATAGGTGTTACATGGGCAATGTGTAAATAGGTGTGATTAATACTTCCAAACGGGGAGCGTGTAGTGTAATTAAAATAATTTTGTACTTTTAAAGCCCTCTTAATATGCATATCTGTTTGAGTGGGTTTGGGCCTTAGTGTGATCCTCTAACAGTTCATTTGTACTTGGAGCTCACTGAAAGGTGGGAAAACAGAAGCATTTGGCTTTGATGCTTTGTTAAGAATGTATATATATGAAATAAAAACTTTATGATATGCATCTGAGATGACTAAATCAGCCTTTTGTGTTTGGAGAGGGAAGAGCAGAAAGTGAAAGGGGTTGGGCACTGTTACAGAAAAGAGAAATGGAAGATTTAAAGTGCTTTAAGAATAACGTTCTGGTTTTTAACTGATTCTTGTGCAGTGTGTCCTAATTTGAAGGTGCTTGATGACTAGAGATAAGGTAGGAAAAGGAAATGGGTTATTGCAAAACCAAGTGAGATGTTTGGCAATAAATAGAGGTTAAAATCCCAAATCATCTTTCAGATGCTAAGATCTTTGAATCCTATAAATTGCAGACAATTTAAAATGTTTAAAATATGACACCAGATAGGATGAGCTCACTTCTGCTGTCCCAGGCTGGACGGGATGACCTGAGGTACTGCTGCAGAGACAAGGGAAGACCTGCAAGATGTGAGTATGCCCAAGTCTTCTGGATACATCTAAAACTTTTTCAAATACAAGCTTACTTATTTATAGGAAAAGCCCTGGAACCCCCTGCCTAGGTTATTCTGCAATCCTTAGTTTTTTAGTCTTTTATTATAATGTAGTATAAATGCTCATGAAAAGTATCTGTAATGTGTTTTCCATCTTATGGTGGACCTCTGATTTTCTTGTACAGGCCCTGCTTTTGCAGCATATCCTAGGGGATGCTGTATTACTAACGTGTTTCAGTCTAGAGAGCTTGTCCTGTCAATAGAAACAGTATAAGAAAGGCTGGACTAAATTTAGAGTGGCTTACGAGGTCCTGCTGAGTAGGTGTCTGTAGTACTTTACTTATCTTCTGCAGAGGAGGAACATCTGTCATTACAGATAGATACACTCTTAAGACCTCTCCTTTTTCCAAACCACTGCCACCATAATACATGATTTCGTGTTCTTAAACCAAGGAACAGCTACATTAACAACAACCAATAGTAATCTTACCTTGCAAGGGTAGTCAAATCACAAAGTGCTATTTGTTACTGCCTGCAGTGGGGGGGTTGCTGAATTTCAGCCTGCAAATGAAAGTTTGATTCTCCACACCTGACCCAAGAATTAGGTTTTTCCATTCAACTTCAGGAACAGGAAATGTTCCAAGGAAACAAAACAGTTACACTCAACAGAATACACTGGCTGTGGGTGTCACTGGGGAGAGACCCAGCTGTATTCTGTCACCCTGCACAGCTTGAGAGAAATGCTCTTTGTAGGCAGTGAAAACATGGATCTGCTGGAATACACTGAGTGAAAACGCTCCTTTGGTGTATGGAGATAGTGTAAAATAAAAGTAAAATCCAGTAAAATAAAAGGATATTTATACAACTGGATTAAAACCGATGCTTTCCTAACTGAAGAAACCATATACAAGGACCAGTGTAAATTAAGATTTCATTCTTCCATGGCTATGGGGATTTTTTTCCCCTTTTCCACTTTGTAAATAATTCTGCATGCCTCTTCATATAACTCTCTTGCGAAACTACCCTCTCCTCCTTCAATATTTTCCAGTCTGAGAGTCCCTCCTTCCAGAGAGCTTCCAAAGCCTTTTCAACACCCCTGGGCTTTGCCATCAGCCTCTGAAATGTCTCGTGTCCCTGCTGGATGCCATCCATCCCTCAGCAGATCCAACACACGGTGCCTTTCCAGCCTGCACAGCATAAAGTACAATCATCCTGCTATGAGCACGAGCATCCTACTGCCCTGCACCAGCACCTTCTAACATACAGGAAGGTGTATGCTAGAATGGAAGGTGAAAACCATGAAAAGCCAAATACTCACAAAGTGGAAGTGATGATGTACAACTGTTTGCTATCTTAAGAGCTCACGTATAACCCCCTTTTTTTTCTTACATATTTTATATATATGAAAGTATGTTCATCAAATTTGGGGGTTCATATATATACATGTATGTATTTATATGTATGCATATTTAGGTATTTATAGAGAGAGGATAAGCTTGTGTTTAATCACCTACCACCTCTTCCAAGGGATGCTGTTCAATAGAGAGAGTTACAGTATAAAGGCCTAGATTCAGGAGCTGTGTACTGAGCTCCAATCCTGATGTTCCCAGTGGAGAGCTGTGTTAGCCACCAACATAACTGCTGCAAAGCAGATGTTGTTTATGTAAGTAACAATGCAAAGGCTTTCTGCACAAGCTTTTGACTTGCGCTGTGATACCATCTTACTTTCTTTTTCCCTGTGAAACTAATTTTCCAATTGAGAAAGGGACACAAAAGCAGTCTAGGTGCATGTCCACTGTAAAGCTGCATTGCACATTCAAAGCTATGAGATTACTGTGCTGTTTGGAGTTCCTAGCTGGTGGAAATGACTATGTACACACACAAGTCATGTTTAAACTCCACTGGTGCTGAAGGAGGCAAAGCAGTACCACGATGTGCCTCCATTCTTCTGATGGCTACAGATGGAATTACTTTTCTTTGCAGCAATTCGTATTCAGAGTTAAAAAGGCAAAAGGAAAGGGATAATAAAAATCATCACCACTTGGATAAGAAGTGTTACTGCAGGACTTACCTTTCTCGGAACCTTTTCCCAAGGGTGGCGAGCTCTGAAGTCCAATGCACAGGAATTAAAGTGTAAACATTCACATATTTAATAGTACCATCAAAATAACCATCATCACTACATTAAAAACTTCAAAAATGCATTTGCGTATGGTCCTAATATAAATTAAATATATGGACTAAAAGTAAATAAATTTAACATTAGGTAATGCTATAAATAAAGGTAAATGCGTTTAGTGTACCTTTGAGTCATAAAAATGCCTTAAAAAAGAGGGAAGTTTACAGCTTATCACCAACACTCTGGATACCACTGCCATCAGCTTGTGTTTCAAACACGGATAAGTCTACATTTGACAATTCAGAATGCTTTTTGGCCACTGAACACTTGGATGGAGGAAGAGGTGGGTGGGATGTCCAGGATGAAGTCCGAGTTTTATTTCCCAATAAAACTTCCTTGATTCCCAGCGTTGATAACAAGGCTCTTTTTTTTTTTTTTTTTTTGCAAAAACCTTAATATTAAGTGCTTTTTTTTTGGCTTATTTTGGTTTTTAACTCGTTTAGATATCCATTTTGCGAAGGCTCATCCTGCTGAAGGAGTCTCTGAGGGAGAGAAAATACAATGATGAGCTCAGGTTTTCCATGATGACATAAGAAGCCTCGTCAGATGAATGATTCTGTACTTGATTTCCAGGATTCTCTACAGCTGGATGCTACAACAGCCAAGTCCACTGACATTAACTCCTTGCTTTTCAAATGAATGGAATGATCTGGGATCATTCGACTGCCTAAGGTTTGCTGACAGAAAGTTTAATTCATGGGTACACAAAGAAGCAGCACAAACCATCTGCACTACTGACCTCTGATTCAAGTCTTTCCAATAAATCTCTACATGGAATTTGCCTGGAATACCTGTATTAGACTCCCTGCACAGGCTGCATTTCACAAGGTTAGAAATAATCACCATGCTAAAAGTGTGTGTGAGGGTCCTACTGCGTGAGGAGGGAAGCACAGGTATTCCCACCATCCCCAGCCCTTGGAAACTGCCTGCAGCAGAGAACACCAGCACCTTAAAGAGAGCTTAGAACATCATGGACCTGGGTGATGAGGGGAGGCCACCTTTCTGCAGTGTTCAGCAGACCGAAAAACACATCCAATTCAGCTACAGGAACATCCCTAAGCACTGCTGTGTGAGCTGGGAACATCCATTTCCTTCTTCCTGCAGCACTAAGTCTTGCTCTTCTTATAACACAAGCTTGCCAAGTTTCTCTTTTCACAACAGTTTTTATGTTCCCCATCACTCTTTACCTCTGAGCACCACTTACACGAGGAGAGGTTCAAAGGAAGGGCTGTATTCTCCTAAACCAACAGCACAGACATGAGCTGAAGTCCACATCAACACAAATCTCAAGGTTCTCTCATTAAAAGCATTGTCACCATCCTGCTTGGTGCTAATCAAGTGCCAGGAACACCCCCACCCCATTCCCTGCTGCGAGACCACAATGGCCAGAGCTGCCTTGCGGGATTGCATTAGCCTACCCTGCTGATGGGGGACACGACAGGGGTTGTGAAGCCAAAGGGTAACTCCTGGGAAGCACTTCTGCCCTGTTCTGGGAGCCAGAGTCTTGTTAGACGCTATCTACCCAAAGTCTCTCTGCTCAGCTTCAGCTGGTGCCAGGGGATTACAACACCACAGCCTCTGACCTGCTACATGCATTCCCAACAAGGTTTTTATGTTCAGTCTCACTGCAGAAGACCAAAAAGCCCAGATCCCTCTTCCCAGTCTTCCAGCACGGAAGACACCAGCTGTTTTTCCACCCTGCCTGCCCCTGGAGCTCCTCAGCCCAGTTTCACTGGGAACAAACCAGTGTCAAAGTCCTGCCGTGCTGAGAGTGGTTTTGAATTCAAAAAGAATGGGATGCAGGATGCAAAAATCAACCCAAACAAACTGTCATAGGTCAGAAGCAAAAGGAACCACTGCAAACACCACCTGCCATAACCGCTGGGAAGGGGATGTGCTCTGAGTCAGGACAGAAGGGGACAAGGCCAAAAGAGCCATAATTGAAACCAAATGGACGTCACAGGCTCACCAGGAAGATCAGACACCCCAGTCCCCAGTTTTACACCCTCCTTATCTCTGCTGAAAGAGTAAAATCAGATATCCACCTGTGGCAAGTGACCGGCAGCACTGCTTTATACAACTGTGGGATCTTTCTGTTTATCAAGGGTTGGAGAGCTTCCTTTAACCGGTGGTAATTCCTTTCAAGTTCCCGCTGATACTCCTTTTGGTCTGGACCGATCAGGCTCTTGTTCTTGCGCAGAGCATCTTCACATCTAGGAAATAAAAGCTGGTAAAACTTGGGCACAAAATAAAGGACCCGCTTGCCACAGAGCTGTTAATGTAACGGGACCAAAACCAAATCACTCTGTTCCTCTGGGGTGACACAGAATATCCTTCTCTATCTTGTCTTTGGGCTAATAAAGACTCAGTTAAACCACTTGGTGTCCATG